CAGGTAAACCCTTCCACTTTCGTCTGCCCCACTTTGCAGTCCTCTACCTTGTCTGTTTTGTTTGGTGGCCTCCTTGGCAGTGCTGGAGGTCACCAGGATGCTAGTCAGGGATGGAACCTATGCACAGCTCCAGCCTTCTGAGTCAAAGCCTTGACTGGGGCATCCCGCACTCCGGGGGGTCAGGTTCCTGCCCTGCATGCAGCTGATCCCATCAGATCCACAACACCACAAATGGGCCCCTGAGGACCGCCGGGAGTGATCCCCAAGCACAGAGCCAGGAAAAAGCCCTGAGCATTGCTAGGTGTAGTCCCCCAAAATGTTAAACTGGGGAGCTGTTTTCCACCCTTCTGGTTTGATATGGGGCTTGGGGCCTCCTCGCAACCTCCACCACTTCCCTCCCTCCTCCCCTCTTTGTTTCAACATGTATGCGCTCAACAAATATTGATTAAGCTCCTTTGTGGGGGGAGGGGGTGGAGAGCTGGGACTTGTGCCTGTAGGAATACACCCAAAAGGAAAGAATAAAATGTCCCCACGGAAGCTGAGTATTTACTATTTGCATTTCTTCCCTCTTCCCCCCAGCAGGAGTTGGGGGGTGTGGTGGGGGCAGGGACTCAGGTTTATAAATAAGGAATTGGAAAATGCAGCGGTGACGGAGCTCAGGGTGACACGTCTGGAAGTGTAGAACCAAGATGCTGCTCCATTTCTGTGAAGTCTCCAGCCTGCACGACGCCCAGACACACACACACACACACACACACACACACAGGTGTGGCAGGGAGCCACGAGGAAATAAATCAGTAAGCCACAGGTATCCTGGGAAAATGGGCCTGTGGAGGCTGGGAAGGCAGCTTAAAGCGCTGGAGCTCTGCATGTGGAAGGAGCTTTAATCCCCAAAACCCCAGGTCCTCCACTAGGAATGACCCTCAAGAACTGTTGAGTGTGGTCTCAAAACCAAAAATACTAATAAAATAAAGGCTGGGCCTGGGATATGCCTTGGCTGCAGAACACTTGCCTTGCATATGCGAGGCCCTGCGTTCCATCCCCAGTAGCCCATGGTCCTTAAACACAGCCAGGACCAGCAACCAAGCACAATCGTTATGGCCCCAAAATGAGAATATCTGAAAAAAGGAAAAAAGAAAAAACAAGAACCTCTCTGCCATGCCTGGAGAAGGCAACTTTAGAGCTCAGTGTTACAGATCAGGGAGATTGTGGAGAACAGGAAACTCCTCTAACTGCAGCCCTGTGTGTCCAGAGCAGGGCCCTGCCTGACGCTCTCACTCTGCCGGAAGCATTCTTGGAAGAAGGGACGAGACCGCAGGCTGGCTTGACGCAGGCTCTGAGCCCTGCCTCTTCCTTGCCTTTCTCTCACCGAGGGCGCTCTCTGACCTGTTCCTTTAACCGGGTCCTGTGAGAACAAGGCTGGATCCCATGGAGAGAAGAAAGTTTAGGAACACAAGGAGACCAGGACTTGAGTCTTTTCCCTTCATGCCCTGAAGCAGTGGCCTGGTACCGAGCAGCCCTCAAACACTGAGGGGCAGGGCTGGATGGCAGCAGAGCAGCTAGGGTGTTTGTCTCACACAGGGTCCATGTGGATTCAATCCCTGGAACCCCCTAGGGTCCTCCAGGCCCTACCAGGAGTGATCCCTGATCACAGAGCTAGGAATAAGCTCTGATCATCATCAGGTGGGGCCTCAGTGGTAAAGTGCAGGCCTTGCATGCCAGAGACCCGGGTTTAATCCCTGGCATGGGAAAAAAAATTCTGCTGACCAATCTAACCAGATCTTTGAGAAACAAACAAACCTGCCCAGGGGGCTGGAGTAACAGCACAGCGGGTAGGGCGTTTGCTTTGCACGCAGTCGACCCGGGTTCGATTCCCAGCATCCCATATGGTCCCCTGAGCACTGCCAGAGGTAATTCCTGAGTGGAGAGCCAGGAGTAACCCTTGAGCATCGCCAGGTGTGACCCAAAGAGAAAAAAAAAAAAGAACCTGCCTAGATCTTACAAGGAATCATGGCTGTTCCCAAGCTAAAACCATCTGCCTTTTAGCTAGGGGCCTTGTATCCACTGCCTCCCTTCTCTGGGCTGCTGCAGCTTTGTGGGCTCAGGACCCCACTCAACACTGTCAGCAGGGAGGTTGGCAACAGCAGAAAGTGACTTTGTCTGATCCTTGCAAGTAAGACGACTTTGGGTCCCAACCACGGCCTCTGAGACCATGAGGAAACCAAAGGCAGGGCTATCCAAGGCCAGGCACGGAGAGTGCACACGGCAGGAACTCAGGACTGGACACCGCCCCCCAAGCCGCACCCAGAGACTGTGCCACATCCATCCCCTCCAGCAGCCCCACCGGAGAGGGTCCAGGAGGGTCCAGAGCCCTGCCTACTTCAGACGCCAGGCACAGCCCTCCCGCCCATCTCACTGGCCAGGACCAAGGGAGGGCCTGAACACCCAAGCCCCACCGAGCACCAGCCTGGGACTCTCAGTTGGTCACTACCCCCTGCCCCCTCTCCTCGGAGTATGTCGGGGAGGGAGGTACAACTGAGTTCATCTCTTTCCCGAGGTAAAGACAGCAAGCATACACTCCGGGTTGGTGTTGGAGGGAACTCCTATTCCTTCTCACTCCCCCCTACCCAGATTTCCTAAATAAAACTATTTGCTTAAGAACTACAAACAAACCAGTGCCTGGCATATATCAGCCAATGGCAGGTCCTGGCAGAGCTGAGGTTGCCCTCTTAGGTGACCAAACTTCCCCCCTGACCCTGCTCCTCTTGCTGCGCCCAGGCGGGGGGCATCCGCAGTCCACCCAGCCATTTCCCAGAGGGGAAGACAGATGGGGGGCGGGGGACAGAAGAAAAGGGCAGAGACTCAGTATATACCCCCCCCCCATGACACTGCATCCAGTCATCACAGTCATCAGAGGGTAAGAGCAAGTACTAAGAGGCAATCCAGCAATCGTTCTGGGGAGATGAGTTTCTGCCCCCAGGGGTCTATGTCCCAGAGTCCTTAAAAGGATTTGACTGCTCATGCTGGCGCAGCCCTGCCACTCCTGCCCCACAGAGGTGGCTCCTCTTCTTCCCCAGACATCCAAAGCCTTCATCACACCCCTCCTGTCCAATTAAGGTTTCACCTGGAAGTTAAATAACAGCCCGTTGCTCTGCCGCCATGGGAGGCTCCAAATTGCCCACTAAATACTTAGCAACGAGGGGTGGGAGAGAGAGGGAGCAGGGAGGGGCTGAGGTACCAGCCAGGTATGTGCATCCCTGGGCAGGGTTAGACCCCCTTACAGTGCATAACGGCCACAATAGGAAGGTAGATACTCAGCTACCCTGTCCAGTGGTTCCAGGGAACTAGGGTCCCCTGTCCCAGAGGGGACCTAGCAGGAAGAGGGGGGAAGGGGGCTTAAGTAACCACAGCTTCAAGGCAGAGGGACCTTGGGCTGGGGCCAGTAGGAGGCCCGCAGCCTCAGGTTGCCTGGCGCTGCTGAAACCTTTTGTGCGTTGTTTTAAATTCCCCGTGCTGGGCTGATGAAGTGAGTAAAAGGGGGCCGATTCAGGCCTTAGGATTCCTGAGTGAGCTAATACAGGATGCCTTTGGCTGAAAAAAAAAAAAAAAACTTCAGTCGGCTCCCTAAACTCCCCCCCTTTTAAGTTTAAAAAAGGGAATGAATGTTACCATTTTTGGACATGAGCGTTCTCCCTCAAGCCCAGCCCTAACCGCACTATCCAGAGGGACGCGCCATCCTGTCCCCCCCATTCCCAGATCAGCGGGGCGCGGGGGGGGGGGGGGTCGGGGAGGGGGGTTAGATGAGGAGGGACCGGATGGAAGCGGGCAGCGCGGGAGGGGGAGGGGGCGTCAGGGTACGTGGCCCCTGGGGCCAGTGCGCACCGCTCTGGCAGGAAGCAGAGGCAGAGGCAGGCAGAGTCGGGGAGTCCTCCCCACCCCTAAGAATGGTTTCTGACCTCTTCCTGCCACGGGCCACTGTGTGTCTGTGCCCGAGGTCCGGTCGCAGCCCCCACGGCTGGGGCGCGCACCGGAACGGTCGGTCTCCGGGGACGCCAGAGTCCCAGTAACTGTTCCCAGATACTCCCCCCACCCCGGAGAGAAAGACACCCCCCCCCCCACTCCCTGGCTCTGGAACCCCGTCGACTCCGATCAAGTTGTCCGAATTCGCCCACTCTAGAAATGAGCGAGGGTCGCAGGGGCAGGACGCGGCCGCCGGCCCTCCCCTGCTCGCGCCGGGTGAAGCAATAAAACCGTTTGCCGTCCCGACCCCGCCCCCACAAGGTTCGCTAGGGGCACCCCAGAAGGTGGTGTGTGTGTGTGTGTGTGTGTGTGTGTGTGTGTAGGGGGAGTCTTCCCCCCGCCACCAACCGGGCAGACCCCGAAGCGGCCGCCAATCCCCTCACCCCCGACGCCCGCTTCACCCCCTCCCAACCCCCCAGCAGCCCTGCTTAGCTGGGCTGGCTGGGCTGGGGGCGCAGCGTCCCGGGCCGGCCGCGCGCTCCCACCAGGCGGGCCAAGCCCCCGGGGCCGCCCAGGAAGCCCGCTGCCACCGCTCGCCATATGGAGAGGCGGCCAGCGGGGCGGGGAAGGAAAGGGAAAATCGATCGGGAGCAAACAGCCACCCGGCCGGGGGGCTCGGCCCCAGCTCGCAGAGCGCCTCCCTCGCTCCCTGCCCACGAGGGGCCCGCGCGGCGGCGGCGGCGGCGGCTGCAGCCCCGGGCCGGGGGTGGGGGTGGGGGGCCCGGGTCTTGGACCCCCCAAGGCAACCTGCCTGCCACCGCGCGGCGCCCGGGCTCGGCGTTGGCGGGCTGGGGGGCAGGGGCGTCCCCCTTCCGCCCCGCGCTTGTAACCCAACACCCCGTCTCCCCGCGGCCGCGCATCCCCCCACCCCACCCCACCCCCGCTCGGGAGCGCCGGGAACCGGTTCCCAAGGGCCGGGAGCCGGGGGGCGCGGGGGAGCGCGGGCGCCGGGGCCGCGGGAGCTGCAAGTGGCCGCTGACCTTTCTCTGCTGCTTCTCCCAGGCCGGGTCCAGGAGCAGGTCTCGATCCCAGTCCTCCTCGGGCTGCATATAGTCATTGGTTTGCTGGGAGTCATAATGGTCCATGATGGTGCGCGCGTGCTGGAGGCTGGACTTCTTCCTCCACCTTCTCTCCGGGCGGCCGAGGCTGCTGCTGCCGCTGCCGCTGCCGCTGCTGCTGTCGCTGCTGCTGTAGCTGCTGCTGCCGCTGCTGCTGGCGCTGCTGCTGGCGCTCCCGCTGCTGCCGCTGCTGCTGGCGCCCGGCAGGCGGCGGGGGTCGCACCGGGGAGGGCTGGGTGGCGGCGCCCGGTTCCACCGCGGCGCTGCTGGAAGGCGGCTGCAGCTCGCGGACTTGCCTGGCTCGGCGCGGCCGCCCGGACCTCAGCTTCACGCACACTGAGCGCGGCCGACACACTCGCGCTGCGGGAGCCGAGGCGGGCGGGGGCGGGGGAAGGGGCAGAGCCCTCCCGAGGTTCTCCATTGGCCAGGCCGAGTTGCCCAAACTTCCCCCCATCGCCGCTCATTGGGAATTCCTGGCATCCGTCAGCGGGCCCGGGCGCACGGAGGTGGACGGGGCGGGCCCCCTCCCGGCGCGTACGCCCCCGCCCACACCCGGGGTTCCCACTCCCCCGCGGCTCATGTGACACCCGCGAAAAGCTGATGGGGACCCAAGCCGCGGACGCCTCCCCGCGCTCGCTCAGGGACTGGGGCGCCCCAGGGGCCGCCGCCGAGTGGACGCGGGAAGGCCCAGAACTCGGGCTCCTGGCGTGACTGCGCTTCCGAGGGCCAGGCTGGAAGCGACGCGAGGAAACTCCAAACATGCATTTTATTATTTTTTTTCTCGCACCGGGTCCCAAGAGGTCGGTCCCCGAAGAAAGGGAGCGGGAGGGGATGAAGGCAAGGAAAGGAATTTTCGGGGGGAAATTCGGCACCCGCCCGCCCCCTGCCCACCTAGAACCGCGTTTCTCTCTAACCTGCGGCGCTAGGGGGCCTTGGAGCTTCCGCCAAATCCAGGACCCTTCCTAGGCTCTAGGGCAACAGTTGCCGTCCGACTTCCCCTGGGTTCCCTCTCCGTCCCCATTGGTGGACTGAGCGGGAGCATCCTAAAAGCTGGAGGAGGACCCCGAGTGAACTAACTGATCCTCACCCACTCACTCCCCAATAATCTGACAGAGGGGAAATCTGAGACTGAAAGAATTGAGCTTGTAAAGGTATCTAGCAGGCAGATAGTTCAAAGGATTGGAGCCCAAGTTTCGCATGCAGGATCCTGGGCATAGCGCATGCGTCCCCCAGCACAGGGAATGACCGCTCATCACAGAGCAGGGAGCAGCTCCCAGCACCACCGGCCCGGGTCTGGCCTACGAAGGAAAAAAAAGGGAAGGGGGGGTGGAGAGAAGAAGAAAAGGTATTAAGCCGGTTTGGGGGACTCCAGGGGCCAATTCTGTAATCTTATGCCCTGCAAACAAAGCCTTATGGTAACTGGAGGAGGAAGAAGGTGGACCAAGCACCTCTAACTTGGTGGTTGGGCGTCCTAACCTAACCTGGGTGTCCTTCCACCTGTCTGGTAAGAGGAGAGGCTAAGCCCTGCGGTGTTAGAGACCCACGTCCTGGGCCGGGCAGTTTCTCTGAGGCCCTCCCCTCTCCCAAACCCCCACCCTCGCAGAACAGCTTTAAGTAGGCCTCAATAAGTTGTGCACACAATACTACTTTATTTAGTTGTGGAGGATGGCTGGTTGAGTCAACTGTAAAGACACAAGTATGCCAGCTCAGAGGTGCAAGAGAGAATTGGAGAAAAAAGCTGGCAGTCAGGAAGGCCAGGCAGCAGGATGCTTGAAAAACCGAAGATGGGGAAGGTGAAGCCAGTGTCCCTGGAGGCTGTGGTGGGCAGAGAGCCTGCATCCTTCTGGCATCAGAAGTCCCTGGTGGAGGAAGCCTACTTGACTTGAGAGCCACAGAGATGGCAGATGAATGGACTGTTATAGAATTGCTGTGAACGAGGACTCCAGCCCTAACAGGCTGATGATGGCTGCGCCTATTCATTCACTCAATGAATATTCGCTGAGTATTGGAGGTATGTGCTGGGTTGTGTATATAGAGGGGAGCAAGGCACAATACCTGCCCTCACCGGCCCAGCAGAGATGGACACAGAAACTAAACTCTAATGCAAGGACAGCTCTGCCCAGGGAGCTGTGGGCACACAGGGCCACATGGGCCTGGCATGGGGAGAGGAGCCACCAGGTGTAACTCTGGAGGAGGTGAAATTCAAGGGAGCCTTAAAGAACAAGATTCGGCAGGATGAGGAGAGTGTGGGAGATTTATTCGAGGCAGGAGGAACAGTGAGCTAATACATGGGGGCAGGAAGCTGCCTGGTATAAAAGGAATGCCTAGCATTTCGACATGGTTAGACCAGAAATGCAAGCCTGGGAGGGGCAAGCGATGGGCTGGAGAGGTGGGCAGCAGCCAGACTGAGAAGGCTCCTGTGCCTTGTGAAGTGAGGGAATGAGTCTGGATGGAAGGTTCTTTTTTTTTTTTTTTCGTACAACCAGCTGTAAAGGGGACTGTAGTAATCTGCTTGCAGTGGTACGTTAGACCATTTGGGCTGCTGTTACAGGCTTGTAAACTGGGGAGCTTTAAGGACATTTGTGGAAGGTTTTGTGTTGGTTTGTTCCTGGACCAAAAGCCAAAATCTTGGTGATGCTAGAGTTTACTCCTGGATCTATGCTCACAGATCACTCATCGAAGGACTTGAGGGACCATATGAAGTGCTGGGGATAAAACCCAGGTTGTGCACATGCAAGCCTAGTGCTTTGTCTACTGTACTATCTCTTTGGCCCTCTACATTTGTTTTTCACAGTTCCAGAAGCGGGAAATCTTAGATCAAGGCCTGGAAGATTTTAGTACTTGTAAGAGCTCGATTCTGGCTTTGCATGCAGGATGTCCAGATTCCAGCTCTGGCACCAAATGGTCCCTCAAACATTACCAGAAGTAACTCAGTTGCTGAGCTAGGAGTAGCCCTTGAGCACCACTAGGGGTGGCCCCAAAGCAAAACAAAACAAACCTAGGGTCAGGGGAATAGTTAAGTACTTAAGGTGCAGGTATATGTCCAACCCAGGTTTGATCCCATATGGCCATCACTGGGGTGACCCTGGTAGTCCCTGACACCCCAGGCATTAACAGCACTGCATCGTCAGGTGCCAGCACCAAACTGCCTGCCCAGGACTGAGGATTTCCAGGATACAGTAAAACAATGAATGAAAGAATAATTACAATAAATAAAATACTTTTAATGTTTGAGGTTTTGGTTTTTTATGGGGGAGTTGTGATGTTGGGGATCAAACCCAGACCTCACATAGTAAGGCAAGTGCTCTACCACTGAGCCACATCCCTGGCAAAGCCAGAACTACTTGGAAAATAGAACTTTACATCTTGGAGTTTGGATATGCAGTGGTGTAACAGGGGTGTCCAGTGCTCTCAACAAATGTCTGATACGGGGCACGCATGCACTTCACAATATTGTTTAAGCAATGAGGTGAGAATTGTCTCTATCCTACAGAGAAAAACAGTAAAGACTCAAAGAAGGCCTCACTAGTCCAGAGTTACAGAGGGATGTGTGATTCTAAACCCAGGCTTTTAACCCAGTGCTCCTTAGCACTAGGGTAGTGTCTCTCTCTCTCTCTCTCTCTCTCTCTCTCTCTCTCACACACACACACACACACACACACACATATACACTCAATCACAAATACACACTGATAAAGGTAAAGGTAAAGGCCCTCCCGTTGATCGTCGATTTGCTCGAGCGGGCCCAGTAACGTCTCCATTGGAGACTTTGTTGTTACTGTGTCTGGCATATCGAATACTCTCGGTAGCTTGCCGGGCTGTCCGAGAGGGGCGGAGGAATCGAACTCGGGTGGGCCATGTTGGCCGCTTGTAAGGCAAACGCCCTACCCGCTGTGCTATCGCTCCTATCTTACAATATCTTAGGACACTCTTTGTTGTCACAATTGACAGATTACTATTAGTAACTAATAGGTACAGTCCAGGGATAGTGCTAAATATTCTTGGGGTGAGGGTTGGGGGCACACCCAGCATTGATCAGGACTTACTACTTGCTCTGTGCTGAGGGATCACTTCTGGTAGAGTTTGGGACCATATGAGATACCAGGGATCAAACTAGGTCAAGCCACTTGCAAGGCAAGCACCTTACCCTCTGTTCTATCTCTCTGGCTCTAGTGCTAGTTATTCTATGATAGAATAGCTCCCCAAAAAGAAAGCACCCCAATATCCACATTGCTGGGACTAAGAACCCCTGCTTTAATATCTGGGAGCTCCAGTTTGGGTAATCTTGTACTTGAGCAGCACAAGTACTATCTTGAGAATCAGAATTACAGGTTGGGGGGACGAGAGATGTAATTCAGTGTTACAGTACATGTTTCATATGTAAGAGGTGCTGGGTTCAACCCACAGAACCCCCACCATACAATCTCGTATTGGGGGGAGGTGGATCATGGATGGAGTTTAAACACCGTGACCTTGGAGACTCAGCTTGTCTGGACCCCCGGGCCCTGTGAGCAGCAGCCACATCAGTTCTGTTTCTGGGAATCTGATCTCATCTGCATACGGGCAATAGTGACACCTGAGACTGTCAGGGACACTCATCATGGAGGTGAGAGGAGGATGGAGGGGAGAGCTCTGAAAGCACCTAGGGAGGGGCTGTGAGGATCTGGAGTCCCTACAGAGACAGGGAAAGAGGAGAGCCAGAGCCTGCAACCACTAACTACAAAGGAGCTCACGGTGAGTAGAGAATGACGTCGGACACACCACAAGGTCGGGAGAGAAGTTCTGGAAAGGGCTCTTGGGTGACATGAAAAGCCCTTGATGACTTTTGCCAGAGGAATTTCAGTGGAGTGCCAAAAGTAACAATTAAGAGACACTAGAAGGTGAATAATCAATGACAAGAGAATAATGAGGGGGAAGAAATAGCAGGTAGATAGCGGGAGGACACTGGGTTCCGAGAAGGCATTCCGTCTGTTCTCTGGAATGAAAGAGGCTTGTGCTGTTTGTTGTCTGAGAGGAAGGATTCCCTTTGAAACGTAACAAAAAGAAAGCTGGAGGATGCCTCCACATTCTTCAAACCAGACGGTATGTGTTGGGGACACAAAGCTGAAGGCAGAGCAATTCTCAGAGCAAAGACGCTCGTGTTCTGAGTGAGGGGGGAAGATTGGCGGCATGTCTGGACTAACTAGGAAGTGGGCTGACTCCACAAGAATGGGGAGTCTTGGTCCTCCCAGTATAGTGGTGCCTGAGAGATGGACTGCAGGTGATGAACAAGTCATTCTTCCCTCTAGGACTCCCAGGAGACCACCACATGGGTGATACCAGCCCCGTAG